ACGATACAATTCATTGGAGGGGCTTTAATACCAACCGATAAGAAAGGACAAGGTACGATAACCCCCGTTTTGGCCCCCCTATTTTCTTATTTTTCAAATTTTGTTTTGGAAAGCTACTTATCATGTTAAAATATTCCCTGAGGTTTGAAGTTTGTTTGGATGAACTTCAAAACCATTAATTTCAGCAACTGGGTGAGGTGAGGGGGGTAAACTTTCCGTTATTATTCAGATATTGTAATTATTATTCACTTTGGAGGTTTCCGTACAAGGATTTTTTAGTTTTTAAGTGCCTGCGCCAACGTGACTCAGGAATTTTTTTATTACAATGTCATTATCACTGTTTTTGCTGTCTAGATCGCTATATTTTTCTCCGGGTCACGTAGGCGCCCGCTATTAAATTTTAAGAAACACAGGCCAAAAATCGTAATTTTTCCTACTTTTGGCGTTTTTGATGCCCTTTCTCCCCCTTACGTCACCTAGTTGCTTAAATTAATGGTTTCGAAGTTCATCCAAACAAACTTTAAACCTAAGGGAATATTCCAACATAATAAGTAGCTTTCCAAACCAAAATTTGAAAAATGAGAAAATAGGGGGGGGGGTGGGGGGGGGGGGGGGGGGGGGGGGGCAAAACGGGGGCTTATCGTACCTTGTCCTTTATTGGGTGTTTGTATGACGGGCTTGCTTCTCCCATATCCGCCATATAAGGAGATCGAAATGGGACGGTATCTTATTTTTCACAACACACAATGTAATGTTATTCTATTATAGTGCAGATTGACCTGAGACTATCGGACTCTCGTGTGCCACAAAGTATTTCGCTGCATGTGACCTAGAGATTTAATAGCACTTCTTTCATCTTTTGGACTAGACTATATATTCCAACCCGATAACACGTTTAGTTTTTTTTTCAATTCCTCATGTCCGGAACACCGTTTAAAACCCCTTTGAAAGAGTTTTATAATCCTGGGGCACTTCCATTATTTTGTGGTGGGGATGAGCAGCTGAGACTTCTAGTACCCCCAACCTTTTCGAATACTTTGATTATCAAAATTACATAATTTCAAGCGGAAGAATATTTTAATATCGAAAAAAATGTTTCTCCAGAAATCAACCAGCAGTATTGTCGAGAATGCAACATGGAACGTTTCTGTTAGAACTTAAAAAAGGGAAGTTTTAGAATCACTCCCGTGAAACAAAGAAAATGTAAAATGTGTGACAGTGACGATGTTCAGAAGATGTGCTCCACGTAACAACTACATCCGTTACGAGCTCCTTTGCAACTCTAAGCCTTACATGACTGTGACTTCTCAAACCTTTCGTCCATAAACAAATTCGAAAAACTCCTTAACAGAAATAATAGCTATAGATTTAAACTGTCATAAATGTCTCTCCTCGAGTAGAAATCTGTTAAGTACAACGAATTTCAATAGCGATGGTTTATTTAAACATTCGAAATGTATACCATTATTCTTTCGCGCTTCAAGAAGTCAACAAAAACAACTGCATTTAATATATATGCACTACTGAATAAGGGTCCCCATTAAAAGGGCATATATGTATTCGTGTGCATTTAATCCGACTATGATAAAAATTAACAATATATATTTATCTTTTAAAGAAAAATACATGAAAACTACATTAGCTATCAACCAATTAAAATCCAGGATACCTACATGAATTCAAGCACTTGTCTCTGATTTAAAAAAAAAACCTGTATACCTTTATATAACACAGGTAAAAAGTATAGAGACACGTGACAGTGTATCATGTGACAAGGTGTAGTTAAAAAAAAATCTCATGAGACGTAAGGATGACGGGTTGTGTAAGTTGAAAAATACCACTTCACTTATTGAACTTCATTGTGTAATCATTTTTTGCTCCGCGTTGAAGGCCTCGTGACTTTGAAATGAAGAACAGCAATGAAAGCGCTGTTCCTTTGCTCTTTGTGTGATTTTGCTGTGCATATACTGATTTTGTGTCATGGATGGATATCCCATATCCTTTGTTTTTCTATCATGTTTAACATATATTAATAAGAACTGCATGATTATGTAGTTTTCATAACATTTTAATATATTGTTTAACACCTCTTTCAGCACTATTGCGCTATTTGTGGCAGTTATTTTTGTTTGTTTGTTGAGGAAGCCGGAGTGCCCAGTGAGAATAATAGATAGAATATGTGTTTTATGGGTAGTGTATTCGACTTGAAGACCGGCGATGAAATTATAACTGTTGTGAATAAACTTGGACTTAAAAGAAATAATATTCTAGTCATAAACCTTACCGACTCCCTATATATATATTCCATATTTAAGAAAACAAGTGTATTAGAAGAAAAATGCATTGTACATGTAAATTCGGAAAAAAATATTTAGAAAGAAAAGAAACCAAAGATTAAGAAACCAATTATTTTCATATTTTATTGTAGGAAACATTATCTAGCACATACAATCAAATTCTAATATGTCTCTTGGGACCAATAGATCATGAATTAAGTGTTCTTATATATAACTGACAAAGATAATAAAATATAATTAAAAAGTTATATAATTAAGGACGCATCTCGAAACATTTACATACTGACCCCAAAACACCGACTAACATGCAATTAATGAAGTCTTTAAAGTTTTATATTTTATCATTAAATCAGCGACATATATACACATGTGTATGTGTATATATGTCTCTGATTAGATCAATGTACCTGTCGTTATTATTGGTGTACATTCAGGTCGGCTCTGGCAAAAGTTTGTCGGTAATAAGCTAACAAGTGCTGCGCATGACTTTTGAATTTCTGGAGAAGTATTCCGGTGCTGCATTTGCATGGTTCTGTGCGCGTGCCGGCTGACGTATATTGATGCCAATTTTTGACATTTTTACCAATTATAAAATTTAGAATGGAAATGGGGAATGTATGTCTGTTTGTTTTGCTCACACATTGTTTTAAATATAATGGAATTCAATATGACTGTCATACAAGTAAGAGGTTTAGCTAGCTATAAAACCAGGTTTCATCCACCATTTTCTACATAAGGAAATGCCTGTACCAAGTCAGGAATATGACAGTTGTTTTCCATTCATTGATGTGTTTGAACATTTGATTTTGCCATTTGATAAAGGACTTTCCGCTTTGAAGTTTCCTGGGTGTTCGGTATTTCTGTTATTTTACTATCTACTATAGTTTCCACTAAATACGCAATAAATTGGCAAACCCTGCCTTTTCTCGGTTATAGGGAGTCGACAGACAATTCGACCATGATGACTAATTTATAGATCATGTCCTTCTGAAGAAACAATAGAGATGTATATAGAGAAGCAGAAGCACTTGCTTTTATAACGAATGTAGATAGGTGAAATCTTATTGCAGATATATTACTTTTCCGAAATGAGTCTTATGACTTCATGAAGTTCATATCATTGCACAATTTTTAAGCTATGAGGTTTGGGCTTGAAATACCTGTAGGATCGTTATGGGGCTTGAAGGGAAGGATTCTATCCTTTTTAGCCTTCCTTATTTTGATAAACTTTAGAAACTAGTCTGAAAAAGCCCATTGCAAAATATTTTATTGCTTTGGCTTTTTAAACATTGATAACGCAGTGCTACAAAATGTGACATAATATTGTCAGTTGTAGATATTATTACACAATCCATTAAACAGATTATGAACGTTATAGCGCCACAGGGAAATTATTTGTTGATAACATAATAACAAATATTGAAATGTTTTCATATCTTATACCCTAATCATTCAATCTATTTCAGAATGTTATAAATGAAATAAAATATTTTCATGCTTTAAATCAGACTGTTTTACCGAATCGCCTAGTTTCAGAAATGATATAAACACAATAACACCTCCATGTCTAGACATTTGTTTAGTTCAATTCTGTGATAATTTGCATATTAGTTGATTCAGTAAATTGTTACATGGAAAATCCATTGTCTACAGCGAACAGCAAACAAGCTTGAATACTGATATTCTTTTTTTTTTAGCTAATACTTGATAGAAGGGAAATAAGGTCTACAGTAAATAAGATGTAATATATAAAACCTCATCAAAGATACCAGGCTTATAGTTTGGTACACCAGACGCGTTTTTGTCTTCATAAGACTCATCGGTTGCGTTCAAATATAAACCAAGGAATCCTGATTATCTTCAGAAGGAGAAGTCATAAGTATGATTTGATGTAATTGTGATTACAACAATAAGACTATATCCGTTGTCATCTGTTCGCCATAACGGCTATCAAATCATGCTATCATAAAGTCCTTTAAGACTTTACAAGATAGAGCTTCCTTTTCAGAAGCACACATCTGTTAAGGTAATTAAATATGAAACCAAAGCACTTGAAAATCGTATTATTGTTGATGGGGTTCCATGTTGATCCGTCTTTTGTTCTTGTCCTGCCTGCAAAGAAAGTCGCAAAATGCAAGACATAGGGATGACAATCTGGCAACAACGGCGACATCTTAACCTTTTAAGTAGAACTTTATATTTGAGGGCTCGAATACCTGGATGATACAAATCTCGTTTACAGAGGTGTTATGTTACGAAACGTCCGTCTGCCATATAACCATTGTCATTGGCCTTTTTTTCATTGTTCAGCGACTTTTTTTTTGTCAAGCGAATTTCTCACTTTTTATGGAGTAATATGATCACTTTATTTGGTTTAAAGGATCCTTGCAAGTCGACATGTCCGTCAGACAGGGTTCACCTGACTTTCACCTTATTTCATGGATCATGTCGTTGCAGTTCGGTAAGAAAACAAGAACAACAGGCCCAAGTTTATTCTAATTGATGAAATTTTCAAATTTCCTTTTCTCTGAGGGTACAATGCTAAAGGATTTGAACCTTTGTTGGAATATGGATTTTGAGACTAATATATTCTATTGAACACAGATTGATAAAAGCCGCTAGTTGATTGGATTTCATGGCGGCATTGATTCCACATAGTTTATCACCGTATTCAGACATTTTAAAGTTTTTTCTCAGAATTACCTGAATGATCTACTATTATCTTGCCATACATAACGATTAAATTTTTTGTAATGATTTTCATTTCACCTTGACCAATTAAAAACGTTGGCGACTAAGCTCGTTCATGACTGATTCATAAGTTTTCTTAGGAGGACTTCATGACCAAACTATTTTAGTCGTCAATTGAATGACAATGTGGAGACCCTAGACAAAGAACAGTCGTTTCACAACAACCAGGTGACATACATGCCAGCAATAATTTATTTCCATCAGTTCCATCGAGCCCTATAAGAAATTATATTTACATCATTTTCTCTGAAACTACAGAGCATATTTGCTGGTTTTTGTTGTGATTATGATTAAAACACAATGTTGACTGCTGTACGCCTATTTTTGACATTCTTACCTATTATGTCTGTTTGTTTTGTTCACACATCGTTGTCAATATAATGGAATTATATGCGACTGTCATACAAGTGAGAGGTTTAGCTTGCTATAAAACCAGGTTTAATCCACCATTTTCTACATAAGAAATTGCCTGTACCAAGTTAGGAATATGACAGTTGTCATCCATTCATTCGATGTTTTTGAGCTTTTGATTTTGCCATTTGCTTAGGGACTTTCCGTTTAGAATTTTCCTTGGAGCGGTATTTTTGTTATTTTACTTTTTAAAACAAAAGTTTCATTCGACTAGAAGCAAGTGCTTCGGTGTTAGCATCATAATTCTAACACTTAAGATATTGTATTATTTATCTATTTGAAGGTTATAACATTATATTATGGCATTTTGCATGAGATAAGGTTGCATCTCCTTGTGGCAATGGTGACATACGGTTTCAGATCTTCCCTTCAGACCCTTTCAAAACATATCAAAACTATTTATTCTTTCAAAATTGTAAATCTTTTTGTATGAGTCCTTGGCCCAGGTATAAATAAAAATATGGAATCCAAATGCGACAATTTTGGCAGATTATCGAACTGCATTTAATAAAACTAGGAATTTGAATTAAAGGCAACAGCAGAGTACCGATGTTCAAATCTAATATTCCACTGAGGCCCTACACCGAATTTGTAGGACACAATAAAATATATAGATACTGTTATCTGACTGTATTTTACAATCTGAAGGATGTTTTTTGAAAGATTTGTAATCAATTTCAAAGTCAAAGCCTGAAAATGGCCTGATCATACCCTATTTCTTCTATGGTTGTATACATATTTCACATAATATCAATAATGTCTATTGTCAATATTAGAAATTTTTAGAATATTAATAATTATGCCATGTGTCCCGTTTTAAGTTGCACATAGTATCACATAGTATAACTTTGTTGTTTTTGAATGTAATTTGTAATAGAAATTATAGTCTAGTAAAGGAAAACTGAGTTCATTATATTGATTATGATAAACAACTCAGTAACTCAGATACTTTCACAAGTTTTAAGATTTAGTTCTCGAAGGACCTGTTTGCTAAGTCAAGTCCATTTTAGTTTTAATGTCCTTTGCTTACTTAAATTTGAATTATTGGAAGATGGGATATCGTAAATATAAACTAAAAAGTACATTTCGGTAGATGATTTTTGTTTTGAAATATGAAAAAAATCAAGCTACAAAATATCACTCTATATATATTTCTACAACCATCATCAATCGAAATAAGCTTGTTAAGAGAATCACAAAATCATTGGAAAACCGACTTTTCATTGGAAGTTCAATTCATCAACCCTAAAATTGTTTTTCAATCTTGAATTCTGATAATTTTATCTCATTGCTTAATTAATATGTATTGAACTGATGGATGTTCCATAACTTCTATTAAGCAATGTCAATACAGTCGTATTACTTATCCTTACTGAACATTTGTTAACGGTAACTTGTTTCCGAAGGAGAACATATCCCTTACCAGGTATGTAAACATTTGCGCCTGGTCAATTTTATTTAATTTAATATTTCAGGTAATACAAGGAACAAATAAAAAGTAAAATAACAAAAATACCGAACTCCAAGGAAAATTCAAAAAGGAAAGTCCCTTAAAAATCGAAAGTTCAAACACATCAAACGAATAACTTGGTACAGGCATTTCCTTATGTAGAAAATGGTGGATTAAACCTGGTTTTATAGCATTCAAAACTTGTGTTACAAATTGGAAAAACTACCAATGTGCAAAAATCGTAAAGCCTAAGTAAATGAAAGACAAAAAATACCACGAAAAACAACCCCCCATTAAAAAACCCAAACAAACAAAAAGTGTACGACAACCAAATGTAAAGAAGTTGGAAGTTAACATATTAGTTTATGGCTGTTAGGGCTAGGTGTTTTGATATTTATAGCTATTGAAATAATAGCAATGCCTGCCTATTAGATAATAGCATCGATTAGAGTATTCATTTACACATATAGAACTTTTTAAATATTGTTCTTCGGTAACATATCAGATTTGATTATCGTAATCATGTTAATTTTCATATGTTTATATGGCAGATGCTAGAGTTTCCTATCTCTTTCATCATTTTGTCTTGACATGAACTTTTACTGTACACCATTCTGCAGTAAACTTGCTGCAACACATACTATTCTAACGTTGATAAATTCCCTGTTTTAACTTCAGTTGTTTCAGATGACACTTCGTTTTGTCTCAATCCATCATTCTGTAAAATCGTATTTCATTCCTACACGCAAAACAGAAGTCATATGATCAATACTTCATTCTATGACACCAATTATGAATATTTATATATACTGTATTTTATGTCACAAGGAATAAAATATAACATATAAAAGTTGACGAAACTATTTTTTACGTAAGAAACGCTATATGTTGTTGTAACTATGTTCAAAAGATTTCGTTGTTTAAAATATTTTGTAGATTTTTGTCAAAAAGTAAAATAACAAAAATACCGAACTCCAAGGAAAATTCAAAATTGAAAGTCCTTTATCAAATGGCAAAATCAAAAGCTCAAACACATCAAACGAATGGAAAACAAATGTCATATTCCTGACTTGGTACATGCATTTCCTTATGCAGAAAATGGTAAATTAAACCTGGTTTTATAGCTAGCTAAAACTCTCACTTGTATGACAGTCATATAGAATTTCATTATATTGACACCAATGTTCTTTGAATAGAGATAGGTTATAATTAAACGTATCGGAATGCTCTGCGTTTTATATGCATTTCTTGAGTTACCCTTATTTAAAAGAATTAATCTTTTCTATCACTAGAAAAGTTTTCTGCATTGATTTGTTCCTGTTTCATAATCCTTGTACAAATTGTAAATTTTAAAGTCATCAAAAGATGCAAATAACTCGATGGAACAGAAATTAGTCAAAGCAAATGGAGTTTGAAAAGACATGTATAAAAAGCAATGCACACAATTTGTTGTTGCTTAGTCGTCAATTATCTGAGTCGTTGGTCTTAATATCCCCTTTAGATTGTGCTGCAGTGAAAATACTTTAAATTCTGTTTCATAAAATTACCTTCCAACTATGAACTTAGGTTATGCCTTTCACTTTTCAGGCTCTGCAGAAAATATTCTGATCTTTTAGTGAAATTTTTTATAGACTTTATTGTATTTCCATACAATAACTATATAAAAGTTGTCCACAATTGCTATGAGGGAAAACTTTTTATTCTTTTTAGATTGATATTTTCATATTTTCTGCTCGCTGAAATCCTTAAGGAGACAACATAGGATTTTGCAACATTTAATGATAATTTGTTTGTTATTAAACGAACAATACATGGTACGGATAGCCTGGTAGAGGCACACCATGAGGTGAGGTTAAACAAGGTTAACTTCCGATAAAAATGCCTTATTTGCTGATCTAGACCATATGTTGAAGAGGTAACACACACAACAAAACAAAACATGCACATTCCAGCTAACAACAAGAAAACAAATATGAATTGGTGCATAGTTTGGAAGATAACATAAATTCGCTACTACAGGAATCTAACTAAGGTAGATAAAGCTGTTGGTAGAATACAGCTGCTCAGGAAGGTAGGGTACACGAGGGGTCTCTTCCTATATGAAGGTATATACATATGTGGGGCTGGAATGGGTCCCTTTTTTGATACGTCAAATATATCAATGGGGTGCAATTTTACCGAGGAAATATATCAACAGGTAGTAATTGACCAATTGTGATATATCAATGGGACATAATTTTTCAGTTTGTTGTGCAACGATCTTCACTGAATTTCCCAAACTTTTTGCCATTAAAATTACCACATCTGCTGAAACTTAATAAATATATGAATGGGTTATGATTTCGTTGTAAAATATTTGTATAGGTAGGGATTTCACAATTATTCAATATATGAATTGGGGGTGTTTTTTAAATCCCAGGTGCACAGCTGTACCTAAAATCCCATGTTGAGACCCCCCCCCCCCCCCCCCCCCCCCCCCGTGGTAGGGTATAGGTTCAATCAATTCTGTAGCCTGAGATATCAAAAAAGTCAATGTACATTATTAAATGAAACACAATTTAACTTGATAGTGAAGATTTAGTTTATATATTATAACTAATTGATTTTGAATTTTTCCCATAGAATTGTCTGCAATAGATTCAGAAACAACGTCTCAAATTATCAAATTATCAAATTAAAAAACAAAAGCGTAAAACAGTCTGATTCATTTGGCATAACAACTCGGTAAAACAAACTGTCTCAATTCGGGGTAAATAATGCCTTAATTATCAATTGTCTGGAAGAATTTGAAATCAGTATCAACGAGACTGCATTAAAAAATTGTTCTATTGCGCGAGTAGAGACTCTATATTGAAAAGTTTTACTGTTTTCTGATTTATTTATATAAGTATTAAAAAAAGTATAACACAAATACCGAGTTCCAAGACCAATTCAAAAAGGGGATGTCTATGAGAACTGAAAGAGCGACTACCATAATCCTGACTTGGTACAGGCATTTTCCGAACAAAATGGGGAGTAAAACCAGGTTTTAAAGCTAGCTAAACCTCCTACTAGTATGACAATTGTTTATAGATCCGTTATATTGCCAAATTGGGTGAGCAATCCTAACAGCCACTATAGGC